AGCAGATAGGCCATAAATCTGGTCATAAAAATGTTAAGTTGTCAGAGGTGCCATCAGCTATCAATCGTGCGGTGGGAGGCTGGTGGAGGGGAAATCGGTGATAAAAAACAGCATTTTAGGGAAATTATGTCTAGTCTTCCATTTGCAAAGTGCTGCAGTCGTATCCCGCCTGAATCTTAATCACGGGCTCCGGTGCGGGTGGGTAGGAGAGAAGTGTGTGTGTGTGTGTGGTGCAGGAGACTCAGGGAGGGTGGGCCGGTGCCTGAGGTGGAGTTGGAGATGGGGGGGGAAAGAAATTATACAACTAGCATAAATCTCCTCTACAGTCTCCCAGCCCAACACACACACACACACACACACACACATACACGGCCTCTCTCATCATCATCTCTCTATCTCCCACTTCATCGTATCTTTCCCTTCCTCTCTCACCTCATTTACACTCTTCCTCCCCTTTTCTTTACCGGTTCTCCCTACATCTAATCTCTTTTTCATTTTCTCTATCTATCAGTTATTTTCATCTCCACTGTGATTCGTTTCCTTCCTTGTTCCATATGTTGGCTGTTTTGATGCCTCCTTGTTGCCTCTATTCCTGACTGGTGGATACAGATTGACATGTCTGAGTGAGATTTCCATGTGTGTGTGTATGTGAGAATTTTTCCTCTTAGGTACCATTTATTATGCATTCTGTCACAAGGTGGCATTTGTGATAAGGCTCGGGATTACATGTTCATTTATTGCCACTCAATTGTAACAGCATAGATAGATTGATAGATGCGGAGTAAAAAGCACCCCGTCATTCCAGCGTTTCCTGTTCCTCATTGTTTTTCTCATTGCTAGCCTGTTAGGCAGAGCGCCACTCGCTGACTTGATGGATGCCTGAATTGTCAGATCTGCAGCGCCGTTTTTTAATTGAAGGTAATTTTGTTAATTCATTTGAAATGGCTCCAGAGTGCTTACAAGATGAGTGATGCCCCTTCAAAAAAGACACAAACATTAAAGACATGAGACACAATCACGTTTTGCACCATTTGAACCTCAAAAACATAAAGGCAAATAGGCCTACATGTTTGGGGTCGGCATAAGAAAAGTACTAAAAACTCTCCAAAAAGTGATAGTAAGTATCTAAAATCAGTCGGTAATAGATTTTGAGAGGTACAACAGTAATACAAGACTTTTCACCATTTGCAAACAATTCAGCTTCTCAGAATATCACTTCATCAGGGTAATTTTTGTATTGTTTGTCATGAGTTCTTAGTATTCAGACATATTACTCATTTGACATACTGTATTTGCATACTGTGTAGCAGGGAAGCACACATTTTCAGCCTATTTTAGTTTCCTCAGTCTGTTGAGAAAAATGCTTGATGTCTCAGGTGTTGTGCTGCCACCTATAGTCTCACTATAGGACTGCAGGCTAACATCAGTTGCCTGAATATTCTAAATTATGAATTATGAAAAACAGTTTTACTTCAGTGAACACATTCTCGCTGAAAGTAAATGTATTGTGAGCTATATATTATTGGTTCTGTTGCTTGCATTAATAGTGTTTGTTTTTGAGGAGTAGTGATGTGAAAGAGTAGTCCCCGAAAGTGTCACTTCACATACATCCTTTGTGCCACTATAGATTTAATCAAACTATACACACATCAAATATAACTAATATCATCACCTCTAATTAAAATTTAAATAATATTTATTATTATTATTTAATAATAGTATTAAATAATACTATTATTATTTAATAGTATTAAATAATAATATATATTATTATTATTTAATAATATATATTATTAAATAATAATAATATATTATTATTATTATTATTAATAAATAATAATATTTAAATATTATTTAAATATTAATAATATTTAATATTATTAAATATTAAATATTTAAATATTAAATATTTAAATATTTATTATTTATGAGTTAATATATTTTTTATATAATATAAAATATAATACCTTATTGGCTACATGGCTAGCACAAATAAGAAAACTGTAACAATAATTGACTGAATTGCTTAAAAAAAAGTAATCACAAACTTTTCAAATGTTTAAAAGAAATGAATGCAACAACATTTCTGAAATGCAGGAACATGAAAGGCTGAAATATGAAATGCTGAACATTTTGCATGCAAACTAATTCGATTTAATTATAACCGTGGAGTAAAATAAAAGATTGTCAAACAGCTGACATGTCAACATTGCTACTGTAGAGCAATGGGACACCTCCCAGCATTATTGAATGTCTGCTTTCTCTAACACACTGTATTTGGGTCTTTGTCTCTGCTAGCAAGCTGATGAGTCAGTTCAGTTATGTTTGACTATAGGAAGAAGACATACAAAATCTGTATTGCTGGGGGCCCTTCAAGAACAGGGTTGTTAAACCCTGCTGTGGAGGTTTTGGGGAAGGGCAGCATGTTGCGATACTTCATTATGCCGCCAGAGGGCGGTGAAACATTCACAAAACACATGAAAACATTCCAGTGCAACTCTTTCAGTGTGTATATCTACAGGAATGTATTTTGAGACGTATATTTTCGGTTGTTAAATTGTATTTATTATTATTAATAGTAGTAGTAGTAAAAGTAATAGTTGTGATAAAAGCAGAAGTTGTTGTAGTAGAAGGGGTGGTGGTAGTAATAATGATAATATAAAATATTTATTTCTTCTGTTTATGAGTCTTAAAGTTTTGAATTCCTAGCTGGACACCGACATTAGTGAATGGAATGAGCCATGTTGCAAATAATACTCTTTTGTCTCTCAACTCTTTGAGACTATAAATACATATATCCATGGTTCATGTCAACTTATAGGCCTTTAACAAGGTATTACTCCCAACATTTATCATTTAAGAGTTTGTGTTAAATAAAAAGGACTTTGTCGAGGCCATCTTACTGTAGCCATCCCAAACCGCGGCCAAATTACAAACTGCCAAATCATTTGAGATGTCTTTGACTTTCCAAAATAAGCCCGTAAGCTGCAGCTCAATGACTCTCAAATGTCACACTATAATTTTTCCAGCCATAAAAATGTGAATGGATTTGTATTTCTTTTTAATGTTAGGGCAGTTTATCACTGATAATTATTAGAGGCAATAATGTAACAGTACATAGAAACTGTTAAGTTAACTCATCACGGTGCCCTTTAAAATGCAAATGTCTGTGTTAAAAATATAAAGAGATTCATTGTGGCTTTATTTTCATTTTCAACCACGCTGTAAAAAGAAAAGTAAGGAGAGTGAACGGCTCACTTTAGCTAGTGAAAGACTAGTTATGCAGTATGAAGAAATAAAGAATGTTTACCTCATAAAACAGGATGATTTACACACACCATTTATTCACATTAAAATTTCTGACCAACATTTCAAGAGAATGATGATATGTTGTGAATTATATGAGAGATTTTTACACTCTCTCTCTCTCTCTCTCTCTCTCTCTCTCTCTCTCTCTCTCTCTCTCTCTCTCTCTCTCTCTCTCTCTCTCTCTCTCTCTCTCTCTCTCTCTCTCTGTGTGTGTGTGTGTGTGTTTGGTGTCTATGATCTTTGGTACGTGGTTTTAACTTGTTTTGTGGGTCTGTGTCACTTCTGGTTCCCCAGGCCTCCATACAAGTTGGTCATAAATTTTTTTTTTTTTTTTTTTTTTCAGGGCAACTGTGTTAAAAGGAACACCTGTAACTCGATTCAGTGTTCTGGGCCGAGATGCCAATGGCATCTTTACAGCTCTTGGAATGAGGACACACACCTAAATAGACACTTTGTGTATACGAGCGAAGCAACGCACGGATACGCATTCCCCAGCCGGAGAGAGGCCATGATGTTTTAAAGTGTGCATGTGAATGGGCACCATTTTGGCTCAGTGTGTGTATGTGTGTGTTTGCACAGGCCTAGCACAGAGGGGGATGGGAGAGCGCGTGAGAGCCCTGAGGATTCCTGCTAAAGTTTAAGTCATTCGCTAGCCCCAGGGCTGCCAGACAAATTCAGTGCAAAAAGCATTTGAGCATCCACAATGATTTACCATTTATTTGGACATCTGCACAGAGCTTTTGCACCTCCAGCAATGTCTTATATTTACGCACAAGCGCACAACATGACCTCTGCTCACCGTTGCACACTCCCCCCTCTTCTTGAAATGACTTTCAGCTGATTCACCAGCAAAGTATCCGCCGCACAGTCATCTCACCTGCCCGGTCGTAGCACTCTAAATCACGTCCTCTTCAGATCACACCTAACTCATGCGGCGAGTGCTCTCTGGCCTCGCTAAAATCTGCTGCCCTGCTGACACCCAGCACATCTTCACCAGCTGGGCTCATCAATCCTACTGACAGCTGCCTGGTACTGTGCACCGACCTGGATGGCATCCAGAAAAGGAAACCAGTTTTTCTCTCTCTCGCTGACATGACATCCACACCCTGCACAGAAAATACCCATCCTTATGTAAGTGTCTGTGCATGACTCCATTCTGGTAAATATGGAGTGATATTTGACATTTGCCCCCAGAAGCGGTAGCAAAGTAATTTGTTGCACTTTTCTGTCACGCTAGACCACAGCTGCGGAGAGTCTAAGAGTGGGAAAGGGGATGGCCATCAATGACAGGTCTGAGTGCTGTGGGTGGGACTGCCTGTGTGGCATGTGTGTTGAAAGCGATGGCCAGAGGCCTTCTGTCTTTTCAAAAAATATGGTGTTATTAGCCCCCGTCTGTCCATAAGAGACACACATGCACACTCGCGCAAACACAGCAGGCAAGCCATAATTAGCAGAGAAGCAGACAGACAGGATAATTGGTGGACGCTATATGTTCACAGCTCTGGTTCAAGTAGGGCTTGCCTCAGAGTGTTTTACACCTCAAGAGGACAAATAGCTTGAGGAAGCAAAGTACGGACGGATTTATTGGTCACCTCTGAGTCTTTTGTTTTGAAAGGCCGACAATAAATCAGAATGTCAGCTTTAAAGAATGACTTTGACAATGTTTGACACTTATTTTTTTCTTTTGCAAATGCAAAGTCAATTTTTTTTAAACATTGAAGACTTTTTTTTATCTGTACTGTTTGCCATTTTTAAAACAATAAGTGTTCAAAAGCAGCAAGAAACACTAAAAGGGACTCGCACTGGCATCATAAGCCTAAAGCGGCACTTCTGATGTGTTCTTGGAAAGCCATCAGTAGCAAAAGCGGTTTTGAGATCGTTCGATCTGTACCACATGCATTAGAACATTCTGACCACTGTCAACAAAATCAATGGCACGCAAACACGAGACCACTAAATTCCTTCCAGTCTGTACTTTTCAACAATATTCATAGTGCTTTTCAGCAGTAAGAATATGCTTGTCTTTTTCGACTGATGATGGAAGAAAGCATGGGGGGAGGTGAAGGTAGCTCAGAGGGAGGGAAGAGAGAAAGAGAGAGAAGGGGAAAGAGAAGCCGTGGGGGATGCTGCGTTTGGACATGACATTGTAAAACCTGAAGGCCTTTTATGACTTTTAGTGCCAAGGAGAATATACCAAACAAGAAGACCTCAGCTTAACGTCGCAAACCTGTCTTTCTGCCTCTCTTTATCTGTCTGTCTCTCCGTTGATCTTTCTTTCTGTCTGACGGCACAACATTTTTTTAAGAATGGTGGATGATGTAATTAGTTTCATGTGGGTTTCAGGATCTGTTGGCATACAAATGTAGCAGCATGTTGTTGGAGACATGTTTACAGCCAAACATTATGTCTTCCTATAAAAGTGTTGTGTGATAAAAGAACACTGGTAACTGTGGGACAATGATTAACATCACAAGGATGAGAGAGGAAGTATTAAGTGAAACTGGATCTGATCCAGTATTGAGTCTTGTGGGATTTTGAATGCCCTCATATTTTAGAACAAATCCATCTGTGGGGAAAACAAACCATCAGAATGCTGCGATGATGATATTAATGAACATCTCAACTATAGTGCTTTCACTGGAAATCCACGTTCCTGAATAATGGATTATTAAGGATTAGCTATAAATTATAGACGCATTATATAATGTCCAAGTTCTTGAGGAACAGCTCAGATTTGGCTGGAATGAAGAGAGCATTTATGATGTAGTGAATAGGGAGCATGCGTTTGCTTCCTGCTTGGCTGGCTCTTTCCTCTGGCCTCAGACTTGCTCGATCCAAAGGGCAGGACCTTGGTTTTGGCCATCGCTGCTGTCTGTTTACCATCCCTCCTCATAAACCGGCCTGCCGCGCCATCCAGCCACCCCTCAGGTACTCATTCAGCCTGCGGCGAGTCTCAGCCAGTCAGCACAGTAAACACCCAGATGTCATTACCTGAGAACAGCAAGCCATCAGGAAAAGCCATTAAGACAAGTGGACTGTACCGCATGGACCGACAGACGACTATGTGTGGTGGAACTGGATTATATAATGCTTTTGAGTGGTTACATTTGGACCAAATACCCTTTGTATATTTAGAATGCCTCTTCAAAGAAACACATGTTCATGACAAATTGGTCTGTTGCAAACAATAATAATAAAAAATAATCAGTAACAGCTTTGCTTTAAAATAAGTTTTATTTATAGTAATTATTTACATGTTATTGAAATGTATAATAATACAGGCCCAATTATATACAAGCTAAAATGATTTTCTGTATTCTGTTGCTTTGAAATTGTGGTGGTCCATTTATTTGTCTACATGGGATTGAAGATGTAAGCTTTTGTATTAGCCAGCTCAAATGATATCTTAAGCAAGCATTAATTTTCTCTTCTGGCATTTCAAGAAATTAAACAATAAAAAGTGTCTAAGCCTTGAACCAAACTGATCTGTTAAGATCAATCATTAAATTTGGACATTTGTTTCTGAACGGTGATAATTCTGAAATGACATGAAAACGGAATTACTTATGTCTACTGTGGGGCTTAATGGAGTTAATATGTACAACAAAAACTGCTAATTTACAAAAAGAAAAGAAAACCGTGTTTATATAAAATATTACAATTATTGGGGTTTCACTGTCTTAAAATGACAACACACATGCGCACAAGACATGCGCACATTGAATAAAACTACAAAACGCCAATGCACAATTACAAATAAGCACTGTAAGATCGAGTTTATGAATTCTCTGATAGACCTGCATTCAGTAAAGTTATAATGCTATAAAAAAAACAGCCTAAATGTCTCTGACAAAAGTTTGAAGAAATTAGTGAAAGTGTGTGTTGGCTTTGTTTTCCTGTTTTCCGTTCGTCCAAGAGTAAAAAGTAGGCAAATTATTTACGTATATGCACACTATGATTATAGGTCACTCTGACTGTTACGAAAATAAGATTCGATGGTATGAAATCTGGTAATCTCGTGACTAATCATTAGCGATAATTACAGCGGCATAGAAACATGTGAACTTTATTGATTCTATGTGGAATTAGCGGCCTTGCGGGAGTCAACAAACGACTCTGCAACTCTTCTTAATTAAACGGTAAGCTAAATGTTTATATCCTTGGTAGCTGTGGCAAAATTGTGAATTTAGACTTTCTCATATATTGAGACTTTCAATTGTATGATCCCCAAGTTATGTCCTCATTCTATTCACTGGAGATTATAATTGTTGGAATTATTTCCAGAACGAATCGTGTGCGTTAAGATGAATGTATCTTTACAATTCAGTCACTTGGTTATTGCGTTTATATTGTTAAATTTCAACTAATTCTAATCGGCTACTTAAAAAGAATAGAGGCTGAACATGTTGGGCCTAAAACTCTAATTTTACAATTAGCCTACATTTAATTGTTTTTAAATTAAAATGATTTTATGTCGTTTCTTATGAGCAGCACATTAAAGTTAATGTGCCTTGACCTATAATGTAAGAGCAGTTTTATGTATTGACACTGGTTCTAATATCAGCAATTCACCTTGTTATGGTTCACCCTCTGGACGTTAGGGTTTTTTTTCTGACCTTAAAGGAATAGGTCGCCCAAAAATTTAAATTCTGTCATTAATTACTCACCCTCATGTCGTTCCAAACCCGTAAACTTTCGTTCATCTTCGAAACACAAATAAAGATATTTTAATGATATCTAAGACATTTCTGTCCCAGAAAATTGACAGCTATGCAACTACTACTTTGACTTCAAAAAGTTCATAAAGAAATGTAAAAATAATCCATATGAATTGAGTCATTTAGTTCACATTTTCTGAAGAGGTATACGATCGCTTTGCTGAACAGATTTAATTTAGACTTATATTCACACATAAACATTCATCCACACGCACATTAGTTATGGTAAATGGAACCTATGCATGTCTGCTGTTACGCAGCACGTTTGAGCTTCTGCAAGAACCAATGAGGTTCATTCTTGTGTGTCAAGCAGATTCGGCTGAGCTTCTGTTTATGCGTTTATGTTCGCTGATTAATGTGAATGTGAAATATGTGAATAAAAGCCTAAATTCAATCTGTTCCTAAAATAAAGCAATTGTGTCTCTTCAGAAAATTTTGACTAAACCGCTCGATTTATATGATCTCTTTATGAACTTTTTGAAGTGACAAAGTGGTAGTTGCGTAGCTGTCAAAGGAGGGACAGAAATCGCTCAGATTTCAATAAAAATATCTTCATTTGTGTTCCGGAGATGAAAGATGACGTCTTACAGGTTTGGCAAAACACAAGGGTGAGTAAATGATGACAGAATTTTCATTTTTTGGGGTGAACTATCAGCTAATCTTTATTGAGACAGTTTGACAGATTTAAAATGTTATGCACTGAGAAGCCAAGCGAATTGTAGCAATTACATGATTATCCTTTGTTTGCATTGTTTTGTCTTTTCTTTAATGTCTTCAATGTCATGCATGCAAAATTATAGTCAGTTCTATTCAAATGATGTGGTATTTGTTACACTTAACAATTTGACTACTAAATTCATTATGTGTTCATTTAACTGGTAAAGCCCTGTCAGCCCGGTGAAATTTTATTATATATTAAAGTGCTTCATGATCCCATTATATATGGGACAAGTACCATCCCAGATATAGAAGATGTTGTATGAAACATAAAATAGCCAGATCACCACCTATTATATTGATCCATGATCCATAAATAAATTTAATGCATATACATTTTTTGTCTGTTCTCTTCCTTTGTTTGTGTGGTAGTGGAAAGGCAATAAATGCAAGCTATTGCATGTGGCTTTGCAACAAATCCAAATGTTTTAGTCTATAAGTGGGAGTCAAAGCTTAGCCAAGAGACACAGATAGTGACAAACGCTCCCTGGTTATTTAATTAGAGGCGGCTCTAATGTTTTCCATGTTTCTCTGGAGTGACTGGCGTATAGGGAGGGGGAGCGGTGACATCAGTGACTTTAACTGGAACCAGATGGAGACTAATTAACAAAAGGGCAATGCTGTAATGGAAACTGAATCAGTGCTCACATACAGGTGTCAAAAAAGATAGAGGAACAATACGGAGTCATAACTAAAGGAAACAGGAGAAATCACACCAGGTTGCCTCTCATGGAGCTGTTTCAAGAGACATTTTTCCTTCATTGGGTCATAGCTGGAAACCAGGAGCTTAGCTTGAGTACTTCAGCAGTGTGGCTTGGGTTTGAGGCCTGGCCTTTACTACTTAAGGCACAAACCAAGCTAAATTTTCCAAAAGCTTATTGTGTACTGTTTGGCATGACAACGAAGTCTTTTGTCATTAGTATTTTTTTTTTATTGTTGAGTGGAATAACAAATGATGCTTGGTATAGACATGACAGGAGACAAAGGAGTGGGTCAGACATGGTTGCGTGAGGTTTCTAGACTAGTTTCTAAACTAGAGGTTTCTGGGAAGTGTGATAAGTATAGACGGATTAACACTACAGACTGATGTTGTGTTGAATGCTGCAGTCAGATGAGATCATGCAATATTGTCATAAAATGCTTGGATAATAGTTGTGTATTAGTGTAAAATACTGAAACACGTCTTTAAAGGGTTAGTTCACCCAAAAATTTTAAATCTGTCATCATTTACTCAACCTTATGTCATCCCAAACTCGTAAGACTTTCGTTCATTTTCGGAACACAAATGAAGATATTTTTGATGAAATCTGAGAGATTTCTATCCCTCCATTGACAGCTACGCAACTACCACTTTAACACTTCAAAAAGTTCATAAAGAGATCATAAAAATAATCTAGCGAATCGAAGTGGTTTAGTCAATTTTCTAAAGAGACTTGATCGCTTTATATGATAAAGTGATTTAATTTAGGCTTTTATTCACATATAAACATTGATTAGGGAACATAAACAGAAGCTCAACCGAACCTGCTTGATGCGGGAGAACAAACCTCTTTTGAGGAAGCTCAAATGTGCTGCGTAACACATGAGAATGAACGTCATTGGTTCTTGCTGAAGCTCAAAAGTGCTGCGTAACACATGAGAATGAACCTCATTGGTTCTTGTGTAAGCTCAAACGTGCTGCGTAACATGCAATGAACCTCACTGGTTCTTGCAGAAGCTCAAACGTGCTGCGTAACACGAGAATGAACCTCATTGGTTCTAGCAGAAGCTCAAACGTGCTGCGTAACACGAGAATGAACCTCATTGGTTCTAACAGAAGCTCAAATGTGCTGCGTAACACGAGAATGAACCTCATTGGTTCTAACAGAATTCAAACGTCCTGCAAAATAAATGAGAATGAACCTCATTGGTTCTTGCAGAAGCTCAAATGTGCTGCGTAACACGAGAATGAACCTCATTGGTTCTAACAGAAGCTCAAACATCCTGCCAAATTAATGAGAATGAACCTCATTGGTTTTTGCTGAAGCTCAAATGTGCTGCGTAACACGAGAATGAACCTCATTGGTTCTAACAGAAGCTCAAACGTCCTGCCAAATTAATGAGAATGAACCTCATTGGTTTTTGCTGAAGCTCAAATGTGCTGCGTAACACGAGAATGAACCTCATTGGTTCTAACAGAAGCTCAAACGTCCTGCCAAATTAATGATAATGAACCTCACTGGTTCTTGCAGAAGCTCAAACGTGCTGCGTAACACGAGAATGAACCTCATTGATTCTAGCAGAAGCTCAAACGTGCTGCGTAACACGAGAATGAACCTCATTGGTTCTAGCAGAAGCTCAAACGTGCTGCGTAACACGAGAATGAACCTCATTGGTTCTAACAGAAGCTCAAATGTGCTGCGTAACACGAGAATGAACCTCATTGGTTCTTGCAGAAGCTCAGATGTGCTGCGTAACACGAGAATGAACCTCATTGGTTCTAACAGAAGCTCAAACGTCCTGCCAAATTAATGAGAATGAACCTCACTGGTTCTTGCAGAAGCTCAAACGTGCTGC